GTTCCAACCTTCCTGGCAATTTCACGGGAGGTGCGCTAAGATGCGAACTCACCACCAGACTGCCACCTTTTGCAAGGAATCCACGCACAGTACTTGTGGGCGAACATGCAGACAAACGCCGTGCTCTGGTAGCGTGTGATGCATTGGGTTTTTGTTTGAACGGATTGGTCCACACCAGAAACGGCTTTCTTTAGAGCAGGAGTGGGGAACGTCCCGCCCGCGAAATCATTTGTGTCTCTGGCCCTGCCAAGGCAACTGCAGGCGGGACTCGAAATTCAACAAATCTAGGAGCAAACCTGGAAAAGCATTTGCGAGTAGCAGCAATATCGTCATCATCAATACCCAGCTAACATCATCACACGCCTCGCCAAAGAGAAGCAGTTCCAGCCGTCGCATTAGGGGCGAGTTAATGAAATGATCGACCAAATATAACGGGGCTAATTTTTAAGTTGCTACTTTTGTATGGGCCGCGAATGATGTTATATAAAAAAATATCCAAATGGCCCTCAAACGGCGTTAGACCAGAGGACGGAAAAAGGCGAAACAGCACAAAGACGACGGGAGCTCTGCATGCTGATATGAGCTACCCATCGGAGGCCGTCGGACTGCGAGAAGGGCTGCGTGCAGAACGAGAGAGAGCGAGAGGGTGAGCGAGAGAGTGAGCGAGAGAATGAGCGAGAGAGTGACCGAGAGAGTGACCGACAGAGTGAGCGAGAGAGTGAGCGAGAGAGTGAGCGAGAGAGTGACCGAGAGAGTGAGCGAATGAGTGACCGAGAGAGTGAGCGAGAGAGTGAGCGAGAGAGTGAGCGAGAGAGTGAGCGAGAGAGTGACCGAGAGAGTGAGCGGGATTGTGACCGAGAGAGTGAGCGAGAGAGTGAGCGAGAGAGTTAGCGAGAGAGTGAGCGAGAGAGTGAGCGAGAGAGTGAGCGAGAGAGTGAGCGAGAGAGTGACCGAGAGAGTGACCGAGAGAGTGAGCGAGAGAGTGAGCGAGAGAGTGACCGAGAGAGTGAGCGAGAGAGTGAGCGAGAGAGTGAGCGAGAGAGTGAGCGAGAGAGTGACCGAGAGAGTGAGCGGGATTGTGACCGAGAGAGTGAGCGAGAGAGTGAGCGAGAGAGTGAGCGAGAGAGTGAGCGAGAGAGTGAGCGAGAGAGTGAGCGAGAGAGTGAGCGAGAGAGTGACCGAGAGAGTGACCGAGAGAGTGAGCGAGAGAGTGAGCGAGAGAGTGACCGAGAGAGTGACCGAGAGAGTGAGCGAAAGAGTGACCGAGAGAGTGAGCGAGAGAGTGACCGAGAGAGTGAGCGAGAGAGTGACCGAGAGAGTGAGCGAGAGAGTGAGCGAGAGAGTGACCAAGAGAGTGAGCGAATGAGTGACCGAGAGAGTGAGTGAGAGAATGAGCGAGAGAGTGACCGAGAGAGTGACCGACAGAGTGAGCGAGAGAGTGACCGAGAGAGTGAGCGAGAGAGTGAGCGAGAGAGTGACCGAGAGAGTGACCGACAGAGTGAGCGAGAGAGTGACCGAGAGAGTGAGCGAGAGAGTGACCGAGAGAGTGAGCGAGAGAGTGACCGAGAGAGTGACCGAGAGAGTGAGCGAGAGAGAGTGAGCGAGAGAGTGACCGAGAGAGTGAGCGAGAGAGTGACCGAGAGAGTGACCGAGAGAGTGAGCGAGAGAGAGTGAGCGAGAGAGTGAGCGAGAGAGTGACCGAGAGAGTGAGCGAGAGAGTGAGCGAGAGAGTGACCGAGAGAGTGAGCGAGAGAGTGAGCGAGAGAGTGAGCGAGAGAGTGAGCGAGAGAGTGAGCGAGAGAGTGAGCGAGAGAGTGACTGAGAGAGTGAGCGAGAGAGTGACCGAGAGAGTGACCGAGAGAGTGACCGAGTGAGTGAGCGAGAGAGTGAGCGAGAGAGTGAGCGAATGAGTGACCGAGAGAGTGAGCGAGAGAGTGACCGAGAGAGTGAGCGAGAGAGAGTGACCGAGAGAGTGACCGAGAGAGTGAGCGAGAGGTGGGGGTTTACATAAAGCAAAGTAAAAAAATACGAAATGATGAACGAAGCAAAGTGCCGACTACACCGAGCATCTTCTTGTTTCCACTGATCGTAAAAAAGAAACAAAGACGACGCAGCACATCCTAATCAGAGCGTGTTGGGTTTGTGTTTGCATGTTCGCCACTAGTCTGTGTGTGTGTGCTTAATGCCGACGGGACTCCCTTGCAAAAGGTTTCAGTTTGGTGCGTTGACATCTTCACGCGCCTCTAACTGTTTCATTGCCAGAAACGGTTCAACCTCTTCTCATACCGTGAGCAGGCTGCAGGGGCAAGTGCTGTTAGCGAGCATCTATGTGTGGCACACGAGGGGATGGGTGGCCAGCACCACGCCCGGCCGCCTTTGTCTCCCCAGAGTGGCGATGTTTTTACGCACAGAACCCTAGTACTCTTTTGAGGCTGAGTCGACCTAGGGGAGGCCCAGGACCGGTTCAGATAATCGTCACCGGGTGTTGGCCGTGAGCGGGAATCGAACTCAGGTCGCCGGGATTCGTAGCGCTAACCGAAGCGCCACCGCTCCCCACGCACAAGACAAAGACAAATATCCCCCATGTAGCCTTAGCAGACTGTTGGGGCAAGTGCTGGTAGGAACGGCACACGAGGGGGTGGGTGGCCAGAACCACGCCCGTACACACGCACACAGACAAAGACAAAGACACAACAACAACCGCCATTCGCAAGTGGCGGTGACGTCACCACGACGCTTGTGCCAGGCCATGTGCACCTTGAGGCTACCACGTGAAGTGTCGACCGCCCGCTGGCAGGAGGTCACGGGGCAGACCCAGCAGGTGCCACGGGTCGACTGACTGAGATGACCACAAAGACACAAACAAAGATACCCCATATAGACTAAACAGACTGTAGGGGCAAGTGCTGTTAGCGAGCACCTATGAAGGCCGGAACGGTACACGAACGAGGGGGTGGGTGGCCAGCACCACGCCCGACCGCCTTTGTCTCTTCAGCGGCGATGTTTACACACCGCACCAGGTACTCATTTGAGGCTGAGTCGACCTAGGGGAGGCCCAGGACCGGTTCAGATAATCGGCACTGGTGTTAGCTGTGAGCGGGAATCGAACCCGGGTCGCTAGGTTCATAGCGCAGCGCGCTAACCGCTACACCACCGCTCCCCACAAAGACACACGCACATAGACACACACATTAGTAACAACTCAACAGGGAGTTTGTATTTTTCAACTATTTGCCGCTACAGTTCAAATTGTAGAGCGAGAGGGAGAATGTTCACGCATTTTCCGGATGATAAAACGCACCAGTTGGTACTGCGTCTTATAATTCGGTAGGCGTGCGTGTGTGTGTGCGTGTGTGTGTGTGTTCATAGGTGTGCGTGTGCGTGTGTGTGTGTTCATAGGTGTGCGTGTGTGTGTGTGTTCATAGGTGTGCGTGTGTGTGTGTGTGTGTGTGTTCATAGGTGTGCGTGTGTGTGTGTGTTCATAGGCGTGCGTGTGTGCGTGTGTGTGTGTTCATAGGTGTGCGTGTGTGCGTGTGTGTGTGTTCATAGGTGTGCGTGTGTGTGTGTGTGTGTGTTCATAGGTGTGCGTGTGTGTGTGTGTTCATAGGCGTGCGTGTGTGCGTGTGTGTGTGTTCATAGGCGTGTGTGTGTGCGTGTGTGTGTGTTCATAGGTGTGCGTGTGTGTGTGTGTGTGTTCATAGGTGTGCGTGTGTGTGTGTGTGTGTTCATAGGTGTGCGTGTGTGTGTGCGTGTGTGTGTGTTCATAGGTGTGCGTGTGTGTGTGTGTGTGTTCATAGGTGTGCGTGTGTGTGTGTGTTCATAGGCGTGCGTGTGTGCGTGTGTGTGTGTTCATAGGTGTGCGTGTGTGTGTGTGTTCATAGGTGTGCGTGTGTGTTCATAGGTGTGTGTGTTCATAGGTGTGTGTGTGTGTGTTCATAGGTGTGCGTGTGTGTGTGTGTTCATAGGTGTGTGTGTGTGTTCATAGGTGTGCGTGTGTGTGTTCATAGGTGTGTGTGTGTGTGTTCATAGGTGTGCGTGTGCGTGTGTGTTCATAGGTGTGTATGTGTTCATAGGTGTGTTCATAGGTGTGTGTGTGTGTGTTCATAGGTGTGTGTGTGTGTTCATAGGTGTGCGTGTGTGTTCATAGGTGTTTGTGTGGGTGTGTTCATAGGTGTGCGTGTGTATGTGTTCATAGGTGTGCGTGTGTGTTCATAGGTGTGTGTGTGTTCATAGGTGTGTGTGTGTGTTCATAGGTGTGTGTGTGTGTGTGTTCATAGGTGTGTGTGTGTTCATAGGTGTGTGTGTGTGTGTTCATAGGTGTGTGTGTGTGTTCATAGGTGTGTGTGTGTGTTCATAGGTGTGTGTGTGTGTTCATAGGTGTGTGTGTGTGTTCATAGGTGTGTGTGCGTGTGTGTGTGTTCATAGGTGTGTGTGTCTGTGTGTTCATAGGTGTGCCCTAGGGAGCGGTGGTGTAGCGGTTAGCGCTACGCTGCGCTACGCACCCGGCCATCCGAGTTCGATTCCCGCTCACGGCCAACACCAGTGACGATTATCTGAACCGGTCATGGGCCTCCCCTAGGTCGACTCAGCCTCAAATGAGTACCCGGTGCCGTGCGTAAAAACATCGCCACTGGGGGAGACAAAGGCGGCCGGGCGTGGTGCTGGCCACCCACCCCCTCGTGTGCCGTGCCGGCCTTCATAGGTGCTCGCTAACAGCACTTGCCCCAACAGTCTGTCCAGGCTACACGGGGGATCTTTGCCTGTGTAGACACTGTGTGTGTGTATACACACTAACCACTGCTCCACTTGCCCCAGCAGTCTGGTGAGGCTATACGGGGGATCTTTGTCTGTGTAGACACTGTGTGTGTGTGTACACACTCACCACTGCTCCACTTGCCCCAGCAGTCTGGTGAGGCTACACGGGGGATCTTTGTCTGTGTAGACACTGTGTGTGTGTGTACACACTCACCACTGCTCCACTTGCCCCAGCAGTCTGGTGAGGCTACACGGGGAATCTTTGTCTGTGTAGACACTGTGTGTGTGTGTGTGTACACACTCACCACTGCTCCACTTGCCCCAGCAGTCTGGTGAGGCTACACGGGGGATCTTTGTCTGTGTAGACACTGTGTGTGTGTGTGTGTACACACTCACCACTGCTCCACTTGCCCCAGCAGTCTGGTGAGGCTACACGGGGGATCTTTGTCTGTGTAGACACTGTGTGTGTGTGTGTGTACACACTCACCACTGCTCCACTTGCCCCAGCAGTCTGGTGAGGCTACACGGGGGATCTTTGTCTGTGTAGACACTGTGTGTGTACACACGCTGAGGCTACACGTTCGGCCCTTTGTGTATCTGCGTGTGGCCGAGTTCTGTGCGGATTTGATTGTGTGGGGCTCGTCTCGTGATCATGAGATTACGGCTAAGCCAGTTTCATGTTCTGCATGAAATGTAAATATATCTTGATATCACTGCGTAGCAAACACCGCACCTTTGGCATTCAAGCCAAAACATTGTGGGGATTGCATTGAGACGTAGAATGAAACAAGAAACGATGTCAACTATATTTTATCTTAGCTGGTGATAGTAAGGGACCGCCGAGCTACGGAGCGACGTCTTGGCGATCAGAAAAAAACGAAGTGGCTCGTCATCCTCATCATCGTCATCATCATCGTCATCATCCTCGTCATCCTCATCATCGTCATCATCATCGTCGTCATCATCATCATCATTGTCCTCATCATCATCATTATCGTCATCATCATCATCGTCATCATCATCATTGTCCTCATCATCATCATTATCGTCATCATCATCATCATCATCGTCATCATCATCATCGTCATCATCGTCATCATCATCGTCATCATCGTCATCATCATCATCGTCATCATCGTCATCATCATCGTCATCATCGTCATCATCGTCGTCATCATCATTATCGTCATCATCATCATCATCGTCATCATCATCATCATCGTCATCATCGTCATCATCGTCGTCATCATCATCATCGTCATCATCGTCATCATCATCGTCATCATCATCGTCATCATCATCGTCATTGTCATCATCATCTTCATCACCATCGTCGTCATCATCATCGTCGTCATCATCATCGTCATCATCATCATCGTCATCGTCGTCATCATCATCGTCGTCATCATCGTCATCATCGTCGTCATCGTCGTCGTCATCGTCATCATCATCGTCATCATCATCATCGTCGTCGTGGGGACATGTATAGGGGCAGCCAAACAATTCTAAACGCCGCGATATCGATTCTAAATGTGGTCCGGATAAAAGCGGAGGACCCGGAGACAAATCCCACGCGACCACGGGGAGAAAGAGAGACACGCAGACTCCAAATATACAGCAGCAGGCGTCAGGGTCAGGATCGCACCCACGACCTCCTGTAGACCAGGCGAGGTAGTTAACATCTCATAGCCACCGTGATGATGATGAGAGAGAGAGAGACACGCAAACTCCAAATATACAGCAGCAGGCGTCAGGGTCGGGATCGAACCCACGACCTCCTGTATACCAGGCGAGGTAGTTAACATCTCCTAGCCACCGTGGCGCCATATATCACATTGATCTTCATCTAACGGTAGATATATCACCGTGGTGGTGTGGGTGATGGTGATGATGATGATGATGAAGGCATGGAGAGACGCAAGCTGGGAATTTACACTGAGAGACGGATAGAGATGAACACGCACATTAGAGACATCATTACATTGATTTTTATCCAGCAGTGGATGGATCATGGTTGATTGATGATGATGATGACGATGGTAACGATGTTCATGATGATGACGACAGAAAGATGATTCATGACGCGACACATTCCCGTGACGATGATGACGACGATGATGACGACAGAAAGATGATTCGTGACGCGACACATTCCCGTGACGATGATGACGACGATGATGACGACAGAAAGATGATTCGTGACGCGACATATTCCCGTGACGATGATGACGACGATGATGATAACAGAGAGATGATTCGTGACGCAACACATTCCTGTGACGATGATGACGACGATGATGACGACAGAGAGATGATTCGTGACGCGACACATTCCCGTGACAATTATGACGACGATGATGACGACAGAAAGATGATTCGTGACGCGACACATTCCCGTGACAATGATGACGACGATGATGACGACAGAACGATGATTCGTGACGCGACACATTCCTGTGACGATGATGACGACAGAACGATGATTCGTGACGCGACACATTCCCGTGACGATGATGACGACGATGATGACGACAGAGAGATGATTCGTGACGCGGCACATTCCCGTGACGATGATGACGACGATGATGACGACAGAGAGATGATTCGTTACGCGACACATTCCCGTGACGATGATGACGACGATGATGACGACAGAACGATGATTCGTGACGCGACACATTCCCGTGACGATGATGACGACGATGATGACGACAGAATGATGATTCGTGACGCGACACATTCCCGTGACGATGATGACGACGATGATGACGACAGAAAGATTATTCGTGACGCGACACATTCCAGTGACGATGATGACGACGATGATGACGACAGAATGATGATTCGTGACGCGACACATTCCCGCGATGACGACGATGACGATGATGCTAACGACAATGACGCGTGCTGTTGTTGTTGCTGTTGTTGTTGCTGTTGTTGTTGTTGCTGCTCGCAGGACGGTGACGTCACACGCGGACACCCACGGCGATGATTCGACTCGTCGCCACCGCTCCGAGTTGAACCCCGCGCACTCGAAGAGCGCGCACCGCCCGCGTCGCTAGCGGTGCCAGTCTAGGTGCACCCTCAAGGCCGCGAGGCAGGAGGAGGAGGGTAACGCGAAACAGACCCCGCAGGTGCCATGGGTTGAGTGGCCGAGACGAGCGGCTGATGCACCAACACCTGTGGAGTGCCATCCCTCACCCACCCCACCCCGCACGCCAGCCCCTCCACCGTGCCAACTCGCCGCGTTTTATCCGCCCGCGGGCTCCCGGCTCGTTGTTGTGAGCGACGCTGCTCCACCCCCCTCGCCGTCTGCCGGAGGGCGATTTCCCTGCAACTGCCCACACAAGGCAAAGATCCCCCGTATAGCCTGCAAGGAGCTGTCGGGGCAAGTGCTGTGACGCCCACAACACACAAGACAAAGATCCCCCGTATAGCCTGCAAGGGGCTGTCGGGGCAAGTGCGCGCACACACACACACACACCCCACACCCCCACGATGTTCTACAACTGCTCGGACGTCGACTGCAGCGCTGCCGTTGGCATCGGCGGTGTCGGAGGAGACGGTGGAGGTGGAGTAGGTGGAGTAGGTGGAGGTGGTGGAGGTGGTGGTGGTGGCTACACTCCATCGGTGCGGCAGGAGGTCGAGCATCAGGAGCAGGAGCAGCACCCCTCGGGCTCGCTGGCCACGCAGGTGTCGCTGTCCATCGTGCTCGCCCTCGTCACCCTGGCGACGGCGCTCGCGAACGCTTTCGTCATCGCCACCATCTGGCTGAGCCGCAAGCTTCACTCGCCCGCCAACTACCTCATCGGCTCGCTCGCCTTCACCGACCTCCTGGTCTCCGTGCTCGTCATGCCCCTGTGCATCGTGTACACGGTGAGCGGACGCTGGACCCTGGGGCCGGTGCTGTGCGACGTGTGGCTCTCGTCGGACATCACCTTCTGCACGGCCTCCATCCTGCACCTGTGCGTCATCGCGCTCGACCGCTACTGGGCCATCACCGACGCGGTGAACTACGCGGCCCGGCGCACGTGGCGGCGAGCCGGCGCCATGATCGCCGTCGTGTGGGTCATCTCGGTCTCCATCTCGCTGCCGCCGTTCTTCTGGCGCCAGGCGAAGGCCGAGGAGGTGTTCGAGTGCGTCGTGAACACCGACAAGATCCTCTACACGGTCTACTCGGTGTGCGGCGCCTTCTACCTGCCCACGCTGGTACTCATCCTCCTCTACGGGAAGATCTACCACGCGGCGCGCTCGCGCATACTCTTGCAGCACCACCAACACCACCCGCACCACCCGCAGGACCACCACACGCCAAGGCAGCAGCAGCAGCAGCAGTGGCAGCAGCGGCGGCGGCAGCGGCACGATGGGCCGCGCGGCAAAGGCAAGAAGGTGGCGTGGATCGGCAGCTCCCTCGGCAAGAGGCTCGCGTCGGCCAGGTTGCTGGACGTGATGACGTCGCGGCCGCCCGTGCGCTCGGAGGGCATGCGGCAGCAGCAGCAGGAGCAGCAGCAGACGCAGGAGGTGCTCAATCATCATGATAACCATCAGCACCACCAGCAGCAGACGCAAGAGGCCCTCAATCATCATGATAACCATCAGCACCACCAGCAGCAGACGCAGGATGCCCTCAATCATCATGATAACCATCAGCACCACCAGCAGCAGACGCAGGAGGCCCTCAATCATCATGATAACCATCAGCACCACCAGCAGCAGACGCAGGAGGTCCTCAATCATCATGATAACCATCAGCACCACCAGCAGCTCATGCAGGAGGTCCTGAATCATCATGATAACCATCAGCACCACCAGCACCACCAGCAGCAAACGCAGGAGGTCCTCAATCATCATGATAACCATCAGCACCACCAGCAGCAGACCCGGCAGATGCAGGTCCTCAATCATCATAACCATCAGCACCACCAGCAGCTGATGCAGGAGGTTCTCAATCATCATAGCCATCAGCACCACCAGCAGCAGACGCAGGAACAGGAGGTCCTCAATCATCATGATAACCATCAGCACCACCAGCAGCAGACGCAGGAGGTCATCAATCATCATGATAACCATCAGCACCACCAGCAACAGACGCAGGAGGTCCTCAATAATCATGATAACCACGAGCACCACCACCAGCAGACGCGGCAGATGCAGGTCCTCAATCATCATGATAACCATCAGCACCACCAGCAACAGACGCAGGAGGTCCTCAATCATCATGATAACCACGAGCACTACCACCAGC